AGAAAATGATCGTCACTATAAAAAATTTATCCTTTCAGTTGTTATGAAAAATCACATGACTACACTCTACCCTTAAAAAGATTGACATTTCACTGATTCATAGACGGATCGTCAATTAAGTTTTTGAAAGCTAGCAAGCATAAAAAATCCCAATGCTGTAAAAGGAATTATCATTTCCAAGATTTATTATTATTATGTCTTCGCAGACGTCTGAAACATCTTTACAATTGATGTCCATCCTTTTGTTCTCTTTTTGTGGGATGTAACTGAGGTGGGGCATATGGACTAATATTACGTAAACGTACAATTTTCCGAAGTATATTATTGTTTACAGGCATTATTAATATTAATAATAATAAAAATTTTTTTTTTAATCCAACATATTTAACCAAAAAATTAATCTCTATTTTTTTTTAAAATAAAATAAAATGGAAACTATATTTGGAATACACCATGACACAGCTAGTCTAAGAGAAAAAAATGACGCGATTCAAAAATCTAAAAATAAAGGAATTATTCTTAATGTTACTAGTAGCAACAGCATTGATAATAATCCTACTAGCATTATTATTAACAATGAAAAGGGTGGAGTTAAAAAACTATCAGTTAATAAATCTTTGGATGACCTCATTAATAACAAAAATGCAACAAATGCAACAATTGCAACTGCAACAACACTTAAATCACTTTTACGATTTGTTAAATCACCAACTCTTTCTCCTCATAGTACACCTCCAACATCAGCGCCTGGTACACCTTTTGAAGAAATAACTTTGGATAAATTGATGCTAGGAAGTCATTCAACTAATAATAATAATAATACCAACGAAGATTCAACAACTGCACCTTTAGCAAAAACAACAGCAACTTCTTATCATTCTCACCAGCATTAATATGATCCTAAATTATCTGGAAATACAAAAAAAAAAGTTTTACCTGTTATAAGAGGAACCAATAATGACGTTAATACTACTTTTATTAATAATAATAATAACATACAAAATTTCATTTACAATCATCCTCCTCTTCCTTTGAATTTATAATAGTAATAGTAGTAATATTAATCAAATCAATCAATTTAATTAATTTAATAAAATATTTTTTTTGCCAAAATTTTTCTGCTCATTAATTCCTGGATTATCATTATTGGGTTTTGTTTCTTTGATATCACCTTCAGGAGGTAAATGAAACACTTCAATTGAAAATCTTTTACGTCTTAATTTAAATCTAAATTATTATTTATATCACTCCGCCATTATTACCACCACTACCACCTGATAATATAGACAGCTTCATGGTTGATGGAACCAGAAAATTTATTGTTGGCAATTTATGAATATGAAATAAACCATTAAATGATGTTTGAATAAACCAAACTGGATTTTGATGATTATCCTAATACACAACAGCAATGCAAATGTAAATGTAATAAATAAGAATATATAACATGACGTGGATGGGTGAATGGATTATTATATACAATATAATGCTACCTACTTACAAATGATTCAATTTCTACAATACAACTGCATCACAAATATGTTCAATTTTTCTTACAAACGATGCATTGATTGGTTCACATAGATATGCTGGTATCGTGATGATTGCTGAACTATATTTATTTCTAATCAATCCTCTTAGTGCATGCAAAAATCTAAAAATATCCTAATAATAATATTTTTATGAATATATGAATGGGGTTTTTTGATAAAAAAGTTCAAGCAAAAAGGAATTCTTTTTTATTACATTAGAATTTCTAGCTTTCAAAATGGTGATGCAATAGAATGTATTCCTATTCTAAGGATGTTCCTTTTTATTAAAAAAGATAAATTAATATAAGAAAATCTGATAATATATAATATATAATTATTTAGAGGCATGAAAAACTTGGAATTATTCTCCTTATAATTTTTTGCAATTTAATCAAAATTGCTTCATACTGATTTTCACCATCAACATTATCTTTATCAATATTTTCTTGATTAGTCCAGTTAGTGCCATCAATCAATGTAATTAGCTTTGAAGAACTCTCCAATATTGAATTTGATATTACTTTAGTGAGATCAAATAAGGGGTTCTTTTTTATTTAATGTTGAAGAAGATGTTGTTGTTAATAATTGAGATTTAAAATATTTGAAGCCTCTTTATTTTGTAAATTAATTGAAACGTGAACTAAAAAAGAATTATTTTTGTGTGTGAGAGAGAGAGAAGGAAATAAATAAATGGTTATAAGAATTTATAAAAATATGAACATGCTAACCTCTCTTATTCAAACTTTTTTTAGTCCTTTATGTCTCCAAGCAATTGTCATTTTATCATCATCACCTACATCATGATCATGATCATAATCGTAATCATAATCATCTACATTTTTATCGCCTTTATCTTTCTTTCCTTACCAATTTGTAGCAAATTAGAATTTATTGTTATCTGATTTTGTCATAGTGATTGATTGGCTCTTTCGTTGTACTGACATGTCCTTATAATGGATGTCACTATAACGTAGAGATGCGATCCGTGGATGGTCAATCCGGATATCCGCAAAACAATCCGGATGGACGGATGGCTTTTTTAAAGTGC